TTTATCAACATATCAACTCGTAAAAAAGTATTATCATCAATAAGTATTGCACTTTAAGTTTGCAGCTGGTAAACATTGGGAAATACAGAGCTCATTTTATGTATTATTTTCGGACTATAAACCGCGCCTTTTTTCGACGCTGCGGCTTATATAACGGTGCGGCTAATCTATGGATTTTACAGGTTACAGTCCACCACCTTTAACTCTATGGGCTCTATGGCCGGTCCGCGCCCCCACCTTTAAGCGGCGGGCTCCAGCAAGAAAAGCTGGAGGCCGGAAAAGAGTGAGACAGGTAGCGCGCAAAAGTAAAAGTGGAACCGAGAGTGGTACGAGAGACAGAACGAGAGCAAGACAGACAGACATTACGAGAGCGAGACAGTTTGTGCAAAGGTGTTAAACGGTGCGCTGGGAGTTGAATAGTTTGTGTGTCTGAAACGCTATGTGATACAGTACAGTTTACACAGCACAGTACATATTCTGTAGCTACTATTGCACTAAATGGTAACACTTGAATACGTTATGCAAATATGCAACTTGTTTGTTGAAATGTTAATAAATGGGAGCTTCCTTAAACAGCCATCTCTTTCCCGGCAATCCCCTCTGTGCACGAACCCTTACATATGGTAATTAAATATTAAAACACCTGCGGCTTATAGTCCTGTATACACATCATTCAATTTAGCTGCTGCGGCTTATATTCAGGTGCGCCTTATAGTCCGAAAATTACGGTAGTCAATGTGAGGTAAAGTGTGTCGCCAATGTAACCGGTTAGAACTCGAAGTTGCGATGAGGTCTTAACATGTATGGAAAGGGTCTTAAAAAAGGTCTTAAAAGGTATTACATTTGACTTCAGGATTCCTGCATATACGTGTGTGTGTGTGTGTGTGTGTGNACTTCGAGTTCTAACCGGTTACATTGGCGACACACTTTACCTCACATTGACTACCGTAATTTTCGGACTATAAGGCGCACCTGAATATAAGCCGCAGCAGCTAAATTGAATGATGTGTATACAGGACTATAAGCCGCAGGTGTTTTAATATTTAATTACCATATGTAAGGGTTCGTGCACAGAGGGGATTGCCGGGAAAGAGATGGCTGTTTAAGGAAGCTCCCATTTNGTGTACATATATAAGCCGCACTGGACTATAAGCCGCAGGTGTTTTAATGTTCTTTCCCGACAATCCCCTCTGTGCACGAACCCTTACATATGGTAATTAAACATTAAAACACCTGCGGCTTATAGTCCAGTGCGGCTTATATATGTACACATCATTCAATTTAGCTGCTGCGGCTTATATTCAGGTGCGCCTTATAGTCCGAAAATTACGGTAGTCAATGTGAGGTAAAGTGTGTCGCCAATGTAACCGGTTAGAACTCGAAGTTGCGATGAGGTCTTAAAATGTATGGAAAGGGTCTTAAAAAAGGTCTTAAAAGGTATTACAGTTGACTTCAGGATTCCTGCATATACGTGTGTGTGTGTGTGTGTGTGTGTGTGTGTGTGTGTGTGTGTGTGTGTGTGTGTGTGTGTGTGTGTGTGTGTGTGTGTGTGTGTGTGTGTGTGTGTGTGTGTGTGTGTGTGTGTGTGAGTGTGTGTGTGTGGTAGTGTGTGTGTGTGTGTGTGTGTGTGTGTGTGTGTGTGTGTGTGTGTGCTCGTGCTCTGCACTGTACAAACAGACATTGGAGACTTCCAGGACATTGTTTTCCATCTTTAGATGGTTTCCCTTTGGTCACGGTGTGCTAGTGGAGATAAAGACGTCAAGCCCGTCTGTTTCTGGGAAGGATAAAGGTGTCTTTCTGAGGTTCAGTGATTCAGTCCATGTGTTTCTGGTTCCCCTGCTGCCCCTCAAGCAGAGTCAATAAACAGCAGTTATTGTGTTTAGGACAGCAGCAGGAGGTGAGGAGGAGGCTGCTCCCTTGTAGGGGGAATACATCGGCCTGCTTCTGTTGGAACAACAAGTTTTTATTTTCCTGTGTTCCTATTCTATGAGAAATCCAAAAACTATTCACTGCTAAAGTTTTTTTCTTTGGCAACTAATTAAAAAAAGGTAGCTGTTTAATGTGGAAAAACTGGGGGAGAATGATATCACTTAGCAGCTTTCAACCACTGTGAAGCATTTTACAGTTTTCTTCCAAACTTGGTAGGGTAAAGTTGGCATGCAATAACACAAGAATAAGAGTTTAATTTGCTTCTTTGTATGATGGTCCATTAGTTATAATGCAAATGAATAACGTGTAGCTCTTCTGTTATGCATCTGAAGGTAAACAATGTGGACTTTGCTAACATAATCCGGGAGGAGGCTGTGCTGTTTCTGCTGGATCTCCCAAAAGGAGAAGAAGTGACTATATTGGCCCAGAAGAAGAAGGATGGTGAGTGGCCACAGTATTAATGACGTTGTTAGTTGTGAAAAAATCAGACATCAAAGGCAGAACATTTATAAGGTGGATTTAATCGTCTATGTCATTTTCTGCTCTCTCTTCAGTGTACCGCAGGATAGTGGAATCGGACGTGGGTGACTCCTTCTACATTCGGACCCATTTTGAATATGAAAAGGAGTCACCGTACGGGCTGAGCTTCAACAAGGGCGAGGTGTTCCGTGTAGTAGATACGCTCTACAACGGCAAACTAGGCTCCTGGCTCGCTATCCGTATTGGCAAGAACCATCAGGAAGTGGAGAGGGGAATCATCCCCAACAAGAACAGGTACAATACGCTTTAGGTCGCGCCTTTAAATCCTGTAGAGCGTGTCCTGGCACTTTATGAATGGGCAAGGGTGGAGGCACAGGGATAGATACACTCATCAGTGAGTAGCAAGGAAGGGTTCAGGAGCACATACAAATGATATTTTACACATTTATTATGATTTGTGGAAGTGTTTTAAAACTGGTCGTATTGAACAGATCCTGTATGTCAGGTTAATGCTTTTATAAGGACTAGTGTGTGAGGTGAAGGCTTTCTGTGTGTGTGAGGATATGAAGTATAGATCATCATGTCTCCCTGGATATTCTTTGAAAACAAAGTTCCTTAAAGTAACAGCAAGAACTCAAAAATATTCTTTTAAATGATGCAGCATATCGTTGCTCAATAATAATACAATCCAATAAACATGAGTTATTCTCCACGCTAGCCAATGTGTCAGGCCAGAGATTGCACTGCAGACTCTTGCCTTAGGTTCTATCAAACATGAACCAATTGGAGCAATGCTGAACTGTGTAAATAACACTTATCTGTGTTTAACATCTTGGGAAAATAACCAATGTAAAGTTCTGAGTTTACTGATATCATAATGCTGACCCTGCCATTCTGCTATTCACAGACAAATCATTAAGTTGTGTGATATTTTAGCTCTTTGTGACGTGACTATTGAGCTATAGATTAGATTGTACTACCCCTCAAGACACAATATCAAGCCTGAATATATAATGGCTTTTAAGAATGTAGTCAGCATTTCTTTGGTCAATGATGGCAACTACTCAATAATCAGTCTGACAACCATTAACAATGCAGTAGTGTACAACGGTATTTCATTGGCAGTATCTTGTCTAAACAGTAGTCAGCCCGAAAAATAGTCTCAAAGTGGCCTTTATGGCAGTTTAACTGAATTTCACAGCTGACCCTACTCATACTGATACACCGTATTCATCATCTCTCTGTCCAGAGCGGAGCAGCTGTCCAGTGTGCAGTACACCCTCCCCAAAACGCCAGGAGGGGACAGGGCCGACTTCTGGAGATTCAGAGGACTGCGAAGCTCCAAGAGGAATTTGCGGAAGAGCAGGGAGGACCTGTCAGCCCAGCCCGTCCAGAGCAAGTTCCCTGCCTACGAGAGGGTGGTGCTGAGGGAAGGTAAGAGTACATCGTGGAAGACTTTAGGCGCACTCAACTCCCAAATCTTTTCAAACTTTAATTTAGGGAGAATTTACAAAAACACAAGAACCTTTCCAGCCCTTTAACAAACCGATGTTTTTATACCTCTAAGCATTACAAAGTTACTCATTTGAACAACACTGATTGTGATGTGATCCAGATGTATGATGATGAAGTATTGTGAGTGTTCCATGATGCTGATTTGCTTGTGTGCAGCTGGGTTCCTGAGGCCTGTGGTTCTCTTTGGGCCAATCGCAGACGTGGCCAGAGAGAAACTGGCCAGGGAGGAGCCAGACATCTTTGAACTAGCAAGTAAGTGATAAAGTACACATCACCGTCTCTTCCAATGTTCATGTGTTGAAAAGGGTCCCACTTGTGTCTTACAAAGATAGGAGACCTCACTCTTAATGTACACATCACACATGTCTAAAGCTGAATGCTGTTTAACCTGTCAGCATTCAGCAAATGTTCACAGTAGTGGTCAGTATCTGATAAATATGCACCCCACATCTTTAATAGCAAACTGAGGTCTACACACCTCTGAACAACCTTATGAAGTCTGGGAGATGTTGGAGATCAGAATAAGAAGGAGTAATTATAAACTGAATGATTGTAGGTGAACAAATACAGGAACAACAACGTACTGTTGAAAGTTGACTAATCGACTTGAAAATAAGTCATTCACCATAAAGAGAGCAAAAAATAGAGACTCATATCAAGAATTCTGAGTCGGATAAGACGAGGGACCAGCACTTGTTATAAAAGTTACATTTTTTGTGTTTTTCCCCATGTAGTCTTTAGTAATGCATAGACTGCTGTTGGCTGTTAAAATATTTAGTACAAAGTCAAGCAATTCTTTATTTTTTTAAGATGGAAATCTGCTTTACTCCAGAAAATGCTACAAATACTACTACTACATATTCCTTATTTATTTGAGTAGGTCAGGTTGGGTCTCCTGTGTCCTGCTATTCCTTAATCTCTGTTTATTTTACACACTCCTCTACACACCACCCAGAGCCACACACACTTTCTCCTCTCAGTCCTCATCCACTGCCTCTTACTTCATGACATTGCAACCCTCCTTAATGTATGGTATTTATTTCAACACTCAGTATTGAATGTCAATGACTTTAAGTGCACAGCCCCACAAGGCAGTGCAAGTACACACACATATTCAGCACACACCCACAAACAGTGATTCCATTCATTGATGTGTATTCCCGCCACTCCAGTGATGTTTGTGTAACTGTACTTTCTTTTCAGAATCACAACAACAACAAGGAGGGGAAAGTATGTCACATAGTGCATCAACTTTTATTTGTTTCATTGATTTAGTGAATGAGAGATAATCTGGTGTTTGGTGGCTATCTAGATAGGCCTATAGAGGTTTAAACAATGCGCATGGGGGAATAGCACTTGATTTAGGAAGTCACATTTAGTCACTGCAATTGGTTATAACAATTACTTTTTTATATATTAACATGACTATAAAGTCAATTGCTGACCTGACACTGAATATATGCAATATCATACAGTTCATATATTATTCTTGGTGGAAAGAAATCTACAGTTAATATTTTAAAAACTAAATAAAAATACATCTATTAAAGATTTTCAGCAGCATTAGCATGGATCACCTTTTGCACATCCTTACACACTTAGACATGTTCTACTCCTTAGAGACCTACATGTGCATTCTTTAAAGTAAACATGTTTCAAATGTATACTTTTAAGAATGCAAATGTAAGGCCCTAAGGAGCTGCTTGTTATTGTGATATTACATGTTGATAATGGAAGGGACTGCCGTATCCTTTAATAGACACAGTAGTCATTTTAAAGTTAAAGTCGGTGTTATTCCCCTGTTAATGGCATCATGTAGGGAGACAACAACAACAACAACAACAAGGCAGCATGTAAAGCTCTGCGTTTAATTTGCAATAAAACCTGAGATGTGAGTTTTTGCTTTTTAACAGAATCATAACAAAATCATCAAATAATGTAAAATTGACTAAGAATGTTACGATTATCTGTAGTTCAAAATGTTTTGACATATCGTCATGCTTTTCATACTTATTATTTGCCAATGAAACGCTACATGCAATAATAATTACACATAATAATACACAGCATTTAGTATCTATAAAATAATCAAGTATCTCAGCAGTGGGATCAAAATATAACCTGTTTAGGAGTTTATATCCTGAAATAAGTCTGACTACACTATGCATTCAGACACATTATCCATACAGTAAATATATTGGATATGAAGTTCATGCACATGCTGGAACAAAGGTGTATCAGAATGAAATGTGACTGATTTTTGAAATGGCTTACACTCCAGACTGCAATCAAACCACTGAGTGTAAATGGAAGGACTTTTCAAAGATTGGTCTTTCAAATGTTGTGTATTCTCAGAAGTTGAATCCCAACACATTATTTTAACATTGCTGTACACGCTTGATTCTTGACTTGTTGCATGGATATATATCTGCCCTCTCTAAAATGTTAATAGCTGTGTAAGATCATAGATTGTATTAGAAATTAGAAATGTATTCTAGCCTGTGATTTGTTTGAGTTATTATTATTATTATTCTACCCCCTGTTGACATATCTCCTTCTTCTGAACCTGTGTGTTTAGGCAGGAAACCATTGCTTATCTTTTTGTGAATCATAAACCCCTGTACACATCCTTGCCTAAATCCCTGAGGCTTACAATGACAGTGTATTCTCATTAATCCTGAAATGACCCTCATGCTCTTGTATGTGCATATTTCACGTCAGTGTTTCTCACATAACACATTTACAGAACAATAATGTACCGCTACATGCAGTTGCATTCATTTAACACTGAATTTAATTTCCCAACGCTAACCAAAATACAGAATGACTTTTGCATGAATTGGCTGCTCTCCTCATTTTTCTTTACTATCTAGCTTTTTTCACACACGTCCACTTGTCCTCTCCCATACGGAGATTTTGATTCAGTTTGTAACGGCTCTATCTATGGGAGTCGACAACTGCACGCTGCGAGGATGTCTAATTGGGGCACAGCTTGGTGTTATTGTTGTTCTCTCTTGTTGTTGACATGATGCAGTAACTCTGTCCATTTGTCTTCCGTAGAGAGTGAACCCAGGGATGCAGGAACCGACCAGAAGAACTCCGGCATCATTCGCCTGCACACTATCAAACAGATCATTGACCGGGTGAGAAACTAGATGACATGTAGAGACATGAACATCTTTTTACAGATTTGTTACGGTAGTGAAAAGATGGCTGCGAGCCACGATGATGTGCACAGCTCACTGCTGCCCTCTGGTGTCCGTACTGCATCCCTGTGAACTATAGGGTTGCAGGTTCACTTTAAATACTAATCCAGGCTGACTTCTTACAATGGTTCAAGATCTGAAGCACACAACATGTAAAAACATCTTTAGGTTTTTTTATTTATTTCTTTATTAAGGAGTGCAGATTTAACAGACAATACAACTATTTTTCACATTTCCTGGTTTTGGTTTTCTTATTACAGGAAATTGCAGTACTCTCTCTCTTTTGTTCCATATAAGAAAACAAACAGAATCCCCCCACCCTCACACAAACTGGAACATTGGTCACATCATTGTATTGCTTTAACATCCTGATACATTTCACATGATATAGAGCAAAAAACACCACAAATACAAAATAATCAAGATAAAATAATAGTATCTCTGATCGTCCTGTCCCTACATTTCAATAGAGGACGTGCTCACAAAATGGAAACAAAGTCATTTATGTTTTTATTCTTTTTGTTTTCTATGTTCTTAGGACAAGCATGCGGTGCTGGACATCACCCCTAACGCAGTGGACCGTCTGAACTACGCTCAGTGGTATCCCATTGTGGTGTTCCTCAACCCCGACACCAAGCAGGGCGTCAAGCACATGAGGACCCGCCTCTGCCCCGAGTCTCGGAAGAGCGCCAGGAAGCTCTTTGAGCGATCCCACAAATTAAGAAAGAACAACCACCACCTCTTCACCAGTGAGTCCAGCGGGAAAGAGGGGATGGGGGGGGGGGGATTGCGGTTCCAAACAAAAGGAGGGGTGTGGTGGAGATTTCACAGCCAGCATTGACACTTTCAAAAGGCAGTTGACAATTGAGTGTCACAGCGTTAGAGGCTGAGGCTCCGCTGCCTGGCCCTATTCTGTCAGATTCCTAACAAACGCTGGTTCAGCACTGACCGTCACACAAGCGCACCCCCAGGGCCCGTCCTCAAAATGTCTCTCTGTCAGGAGGGGTGGTGTGACCATGCCTTAGAAGCATCTGTGGGTGAAACAGATATTAGAGAATCCCTAGATAGTTTTCTTTAATGTTTTTTTAACATTAACTTCACATAATCAACTTTCCCATAACTATAATGCAACAAGCTGCAATGTAACCTCGACAACCATATCCTTGAAAGTTATTTTCAGATCCAAGTCTCATAATAATGTTATACTGTCTGTACTTTATATATAACTAGTGAAGAGAGAAAGCTGGGATATTTTTTACATTTGTCAAAAATACATTTACTAATTGACTTGGACCTGGAGAAACTGGGACATTTTATTGACCATAAAAGCACAATTTGTTTAGTGATCACTTTGATGAAGAAGATAGTTGTGTACAGTTCATGTCTCAAATTAACTTTTAATTATGAAGCTGTTGTTGTACTTCATTGTCAATTGAAAATATGTTGAGAGATGTGTGTTTCTCTTCTGTCTGTATTCAGCTACCATTAACCTGAACAACATGAATGATGGTTGGTTTGGAGCTCTGAAGGAGATCATCCAGCAGCAGCAGAACCAGCTGGTGTGGGTTTCAGAGGGCAAGGTGAGACCAACACACACAAACCATGTAGACTGGAAATGTAGACAATTGTATTTCATTTACATAAAACTCAAAAACAAAACAGGATTTGCACCAAGCTGCTTCACAAAGACAGACGTATATGCATATGCATACATATATGAGCAAAGACGCAAAATCAAATCTGTTTGTACACAGAAAAACATAGATATTTAAACTGTCAACAGACTCATTCTTGATGTGACCCCCTTTCTCTCTCTCCTTTTGTTTCCAGGCTGACGGGGCAGCTGAGGATGACCTGGATATCCATGACGACCGCCTGTCCTACCTGTCTGCACCAGGCAGCGAGTACTCCATGTACAGCACCGACAGCCGCCACACCTCTGACTACGAGGACACGGACACAGAGGGCGGGGCCTACACCGACCAGGAGCTGGACGAGACGCTGAACGACGACGTGGGTCCACCCGCCGAGCCGGCCATCACCCGCTCCTCCGAACCTGTCCGCGACGACCCCCCGGTGATCCAGGAGCCCCCCGGCTACGCCAGCTTCCACACCGTGCAGCCGACCCCCCTGAACCGCATCGACCCGGCAGGATTCAAGGCTCCGGTTCCGCAGCAGGTAGCGTTTCTGAGAGCCGCACGTGTTCCCTGTTGTCTGGAGGACGTGGTTTGCGTTAGAAGGGTTTTCTGGAGGCGCTATTGAAGGCACTTTTTCAATTTTACAGTTATTCTGTATCTACTGTTACCAAACAATATTAAAACTTCTGTGGTCAGGTATTTATCGCAATATATAAATATTATATATAATATATATACATCTATATTTATGATATTATTTATTTTATCTATTTGCCTATATGTGTTTGTAAATTGATCTTTGTTAGCGTGTGTTTTTTTATTTTTGAAAAGGAGATAAGTTTTACTGTTACTATTGTATTCTGTATTACCACAAGATGTCTTATCGGTGTGACTGTTGCTTATGCCTCTGGGAAAAGAAACGTATGTTTGTCTGTACCAGTACTCACCTATGTGCACTTCCTACCCTTGTTTTACCTGTGATCGGGACTGTGACGAAACAACAAGACAAAGTATTATGTGCATGTTGGAATTACCAGTGTTGATCCAGTGTACCTGTGAAATGTATTAATCAACACCCAATTGGCCGCTGTGACACCCAAATCGAAACGTTTGTCGTCTAATGATGTGTTAATGAACATAAAAGGGGTAAACAAAATAAGCCATTGTATTGTAACCGTAGAATTAAAATCGAATTAGTATACTCTAACAATGAAAACTTGTCCTGCTGCTAATTCCTAACTCTCGCATGACATTGGTTGACCTACAGCTATTGTTTAATGTGGAGGTGGGTGATTGGCAGATTGGTGTAAGTGATCAGCAGAGCGATATAGAATGCTGTAACGCTAGTAGCATTTGTTAGTATTGTGTCAGCACGTGTTATTAAACATTTCTGAACCACTTCACAGAAAGCAGAGGCCGCTGCCGTCCCTAGCGTCCCCCCGCAGCCTGAGCCCCCGGCTGAGACTTTGCCCCATGCTGTCGACGTTACTGTAAAAACTGTAGGGGGGGTGAGCCCTGACGAGGCTCCTGCAGCTCCTGTCAGCCCGCCAAGCCCCGACCCAGAGGCGGGCTCACTTAGGATGCCCACCCCTGAGCTAGCCCCTCAGAGCGTCTCACCAGAGCCTCTACAGTCTGGACTGGCCGGTTCAGAAACAAAGGTATCCATGTTCCCCCCCCGGACACTCCGTGGCCCGGCTCGGCTCAGCCGCTCAGACCTCCTGCTGCTGCTGCTGCTGCCTGTCCTCCTCTTCCTCCTCTGCTGCCACGCTTCTCTCTCTATCCTTCCGCCCTGCATGTCCGCTGACCAAAGTGCTGCCCAGAAGAGACAGAGATGTGTGTGTGTGGGCGTAATTGTGCGTGTATTTGTGTGTGCATGTGCCGGAGTAAATGCTGGTAAACAACAGTGGGCTTGGAGGTGAGGCTGCGCTGACATGCCTACATGTGGGGGAGCAGAATCCTGACGCTCTCACTGTTGCTTATCCTCTCTGCATGGCTGCAATACGTTTGCCTTTATTCTCTGTTAACAACTCAACGTTGTGTTTTTTTATAAGTGCAGATGGTTTTCTTGTAAAAGTAACCATTCATTTTCCAACCATTTTTATATGTTTAGTTTTTTTCCTGCGGTTGAAATATAGCCATAGCCAAGAAACGGACATAATTGAAACAAAAATACTCTGGATGGATAATCAATGGTTACTTCTCAATTATCAGGACTTCTTTATGTTTTTTTTTACAATGGGTATTTTCTTGTAATGTTATATATTATTGTGGATGTCTGATTTGCCTTTATAATAGCGCCAAGACAGTGGGTGACATTTTCACTTGTCTATGCAGCACCCCACATTATAAGTCAAATTATCGATAGACGTTCTATGACATAACTATCCTGCAAATCTTTTCAAATTCTGTCGGTTCAGACAAGTAAAATGCATCCCATTGTTTTGATGTGGTTCCGGACAACTTTTGTTTTTCCTTGTTTACTTAACTGTAGTGTTTAATTTGGAGCTGCAGTGGTACATTGTGATGTGTTTACGCTGCATTGGGTGTTTGGCTGTGCTGCGATTTCTATTTAATCTTGTGTATTACCTGACCAGTAACCCCTCCCTCTCAGTTTCTCTATTTCAGGTCTTTCCCTTCTTGTTTCTTCTTCTGCACTTAATTTCAACAAAATTATTTTAATATTCTCCTTTTCTTTAACCGATTTTGTATGTCGGCTTATTTCATACTACACATTTGATGTATTAGGATGCTGTGCTGTTGTTAACTTTATTCATTGTGTTTCATTTGTTTGGTAGATGTACCAGAAGGATCCATACATCCCAGACAACACAGGAAGAATCGGTCACAGCATGAAGCCTGTGACTTACAACCCTCAGCAGGGATATCACCCCGACCAGCAGCCATACAGAGATTACGACCATCCCCCCAGCCGGTATGATGTCAGCAGCAGTGGAGTCAGCAGCGGAGGGGGCTTCCCAGAACCAAAGCACCGAAACAACTATGACTCTAACCTGCCCTACGAGAACAGTGTGCCTCACTACGACCAGCAACAGTGGAACCCGTACAACCAGCCGCTCCCTACTGCCAACTCCCAGGGCTACGACCCCCGCCTGCCATACGGGGACAGCCCTGACCCCCAGTACACCCCCCCTCTCCGCTACGACGAGCCCCCGCCTCAGCAGGGATTTGACGGGCGGCCTCGCTACGGCAAACCGACCGGTCCAGCTCCTGTCCGTTATGATGACCCCCCACCCCCTGTTTCGGGGTCCGACATGCACTACGACCAGGATTCTCACCTGAACGCGTACCCCTCGGCTGCCCACTCCCCGGACCCCACTGCCCAGCGGCCGGCTTATAACCCGGGACCAACAGCACAACAGCAGAGCTACAAACCTCAGCAGTATGACCCCGTTCCTGTGAACTCTGCAAGCAGCCCCACACCCCCTCCCAAAGCAGAGGCCCCCTCACCCTCGCCTGCCGATCCTCTGAATCCTTTCCCCGCCAGAGATCTGCAAGACGAACCCGCCGCCCGGGCACAGTCGGTCCTGACGAGGGTCAAGATGTTTGAGAACAAGCGCTCCGTGTCGGTGGACAGAGTGGCAGTAGAGTCTTCTGGGAACAAGGTAAACTGTTTTGCAGTTCAATTATAAAATATAGCAGTTGTTACTAGTGGGCTTAAATTGTGCATTTGTTCTTTATCTTTTTGCTAAATAAGCAATTTGGAAGTGGACATTCATCATTTGTTATCCTACTGATACGGTTCATTGCTTTTGCTATTGCAGGCAGCCGATATACCTTTGAAAGCAGGTGGAGTCATCCCAAAAGCAAATTCTCTGAGCAACCTGGATCAAGAGAAGACCTTTAGGTAAGCTTGCCTAAATGCAACTGTAATAAGTCACTTTCATTTCACACCATTGTCCTTTAGTCATTGTAATATCTTCTCTTGCTCTGCTCTCACCATCTCAGCCTGTGTTGAACCGTTTTGATTCTCTTATCCCAGAGCCCCAGGGCCTCAGCAGCCTCCATCCATGGTCGCTGATGACATCGTGCGCTCCAACCATTACAACCCAGACGAGGACGAGGACTACTACAGGAAACAGCTGTCGTATTTTGACAGGCTCCAGACCGGTCCTAACAAAGCCCAGCCACAAGCACAAACAAATAACAACTACTCCAGGTGATGCTCAGCCACATCCACATTCCCACACATATAATATTCTAATGAAACATCGTTGGCTTTATCTTCTTAGATTCAATTATCATGCCTTTTCCTTAAATTATGAAACATGCTTTATGCTTTTATGATGAATGTCTTTGTTCCTTTTTACTTTATATCTTGTACTGATGGTTTTGGTCATGTGATATAGGACGGAGTCAGTGGAGAAACCAAGTCCAGTGGAGAAGAAATACGAACCAATTCCCCAGGTGACGCCTACTCTGCCACCCGCCACACTGCCCAAACCCGCACCTGAAGGTAAACATGTTCTGCCTTCGGTCAAAGCAGAGAGGGATTAGAGTATTATCCAATATTGTAATCACATGAAGATCTATCTGTGTACTGAGAGACGCTGCAGAGCTCTTTGTCTGACCCTCGTGTCTCTCCCACAGCCAACACTGTGCAGGCCAACTTCCTGCCTCAGAAGAGCTTCCCTGAGAAGTCTCCGGTTAACGGCACAAGTGAACATCCTCCAAAAACGGCTCCACCAGCAACCAGCTACAACCGCTACACTCCCAAGCCCTACACCACGTCTGCCAAGCCTTTTGCGCGCATGTTCGACAGTCCTAAGTTCAACCACAACCTCCTGCCCAACGACAAGCTGGAGACCGCTCCCAAGGTAGGCAGAGGAGCATTTCAGTGCAGCATTCTAAAGATGGTCAAATAAGTGATGAAGCAAGGGGGGGGGGATATAAGATATGTAGCACTCAGATATAATTACTTATCTGCATATTCAGTTATTTTTACAATTCTTCACATGCATTTATCTATGTGGAATTCACTTTTTTTAAACTTAAATGTTGTCACAATTTGTAATTCCATTGTACTTAGAACAGATTGTCCTCTAATAACTGATACACAAGGGACAGTAGCCAAAAGGATTTATTTTTAAATTATTGGAATTGTTAGCAATCTGAAGCGGGAAGTAGTTTGCCTTCTCTTTCCTCCTGTGTCAATTCTTCATCGTTGGGAGTTACGCACATATCTTACCCGTTTTATACCGAGTATGCTGGGTTCACAATAAGAAACTATTACTAATTTGATTGTTGTTGTCTTTCATAAATAACCCAAGCTCTTCATCTAGCTGCTCTTTTTACCTCCAGTCTAACACATAACCCTCTTGTATTTACCACAGGGCCAGAACTCTAGCACTGTAAAGCCTCAGACCCCCCCCCAGCCCCAGAACATAGACCATGACAGCGGCCTGGACACTTTCACACGCACTATGGACCACCGCTCCAAAAACCAGCACAACAACATCAACGCTGTGCCCAAGGCCATCCCTGTGAGGTAAGAGACTCCGTCCCGCTGCAGATCAAATGACTTTGTGTTGGATATGAGAGTGTGAAATGAAAGGTATATCCGCCCTTTAGCCCCAGTGCCCTTGACGATGATGAGGATGAAGACGAGGGCCACACTGTGGTGGCAACAGCACGAGGTATCTTCAACTCTAACGGAGGCGTCCTGAGCTCCATCGAGACAGGGGTCAGCATTATTATCCCGCAGGGCGCCATCCCTGAAGGCGTGGAGCAGGAGATCTACTTCAAGGTCTGCAGGGACAACAGCATCCTGCCGCCACTCGACAAGGAGAAAGGTAATCAATGAGGAAAGGATAAAGAAGGACTTTTCTTGGGCCACTGAATTATCTTTGCTTTTTGAAACCAATATTTTAAAGGTCACCTATTATGCATAATCCTCTTTTTAATGTCTTTTACATAAACATGTGTCCCCTCTGTGTAAAGAGAACCTGAAAGTTTCAGGAACAAAGATTTTCTCTCTTTTTGTCCTGATCCATTTATATAAAAACCTGAAATGTCTGAAAATGAGCTGATCAGATTTTGGCCACTTTATGATGTCATAACGATTTTTTTTTGGCTTGTGTAACCATTAGCCAATCACCAACCAAGTCCGAAATTCCAGTGGGCTATTTCCTGATTTCCGATGTAAAAAAGTTTCGGCAAGTCAAAGTTATTTTTTTGACGCACTCAAGTATCGCTACGAAGGACACCGTAGCCCAACCATCCTGAAACAGAGGACGACTTCGTATTTGAAAACACCCTACTGTTTGTATGGTCTCTCCTTACCTCACTTGGTCTGCCGTTCTGTTTAATACTTATAGTGTATGATCGTCAAACAGTAAAACCCTGCAGGACCCTTTTACACCTTTATCTCGTATCTTGTATGTTGGATGTTGGTGGTTCGGGTCTCTCTCCTATGTATTGCATACTGTTCTTGTCCCGTGGTGTGAATAGTCCTTGTAATAGAGGTCTGGTACCAGTTTTGGGTTTTCCTGGACCGTATCTTTATACTCCATAAACCTGTAGTAAACTACCATCCCGCAAGTTGAAATTGTCAATAAACTGTTATAGAATTAAAGTCGGAAATGCATAATACTTCACTAGTAGATAGTCCTTAATTTGTGTCTAGGGTATCTTCCCTCCTTCCCTCGTCCTCCTCAACAAATTATCTCTTCTTCGGTCTCACTCCTTCCCTTTTCCGTCTCTTCCCGTCCTCCTCGGTCTGCGTCACCGGAACGAAGTGTATTCTCTAATGCTGCCCCGTCTGGCTAATTAGGGGGGTGTTGTAAGGTCGCCCTGTTGTACTCACCTCGAAGTGTACCAGTAAGTCGGGAACCTTTCAGAGTAAGGAATTTTACTCCGATTAATTGTCGATAGAGCTGGTGACGGTTGGTAGGTGGGTGACCAAACCTTCCTTCTCCTCGGCTGACAACAATTTCTTCCCCTCTCCCCCTTAATCTATAAAATAAATCAAACTTATGAAAGTGTCGGCCTCGAGGTTGACTTGGTCCCAATAAGGGATTACAGACAAAAGAGTCAAGTGGTACTGTGTGATCATGTCTAACATATAAACCTTTCCCAAATAGAACCAACTTGAGAAGCTAATATTACTAGACACGTTAAACAGGTTTGTAACGACTAGTAAGGTTCAGATTTATATTTATAGCTGAAGGTGTCTGTCATAGACAAGACACCAAAACACTGGAAACAATCGTTAAGAAATAATCCTACCTAACTGTATAAAATATGACAAGAAATAGTTTAGAGTTTTTTGTCTATAATTCTAAAATGTAAAAACTCTTTACTATTTCACATTTGTCGTTCTATTGGTAAATGACTACCTCCCAAAATGTCGATTTATACACGTAAACAGACTTTAGGAGAGGACGTCGGGTGGAGGGACAAAAGGTTAGAGTTCTGACTTCGGTCAGAATTCCTACGTAAATGTTTTGTATTTACAAAACTCAGTGGACTTTCGTTGGAACTTATTACCCTTTGGTGAATTTCCTTCTACCCTTCGAATGTAAATCTCTCGATGTAAAACTGCAAAAGTGTCAAAACTTCCTATGTTATGTTTCGTAATACCAGTACTCAGTACTGTCACAAAGTCAAAGAACCCTCCTAGATATTTTCGACAAGAAGTCCAGCCCTAAACCCACCGATACACTCTATACTAGTGAGTCTCGTCGTACTTAATGTGGAGATGGACTACTTGTTTACTAATATGTCGGTTCACAAACTAGTACTTACAACTTCACTTAAATCTCTTTGAACAATTTTAACTAATTTCTTCATTCTTTGTTCTCACTTTATGACCGTTAATTTCGTACAGCTTTAGTTACTCCTCTGGCTCTAGTCCTGTGGTTTTACTTCTTTTGGTCACTATGTCACTAACACTCAAATTGATCACACTTACTACCTTTTACTAAGTTGATTTCGTCAGTTAATATACTTTTTTTCTAAAACGGAGATTTCTAACCAAGAGTCCTACAAACTCTACCTGGTTTACATCTAAAAAAAAATTACTTCTCTTGGTTTTCATCCCCATTTTTAGATGTTTATTATTAATTTGTCACTGGGTGTTGGGGTTTTTAACAGTGGTGTGGGTCGGGTTTGCTGGGGTCTTCCTTGTCTCTACTCGTGTCGTATGGGCTGCTTCCTCAGCCTCCTAAAAATCTCCGTTTTCTGGTTGGTAGTCCCCCAGTATCTGCCGGTGTCACTCCATTCGCGTCGTCGAGGTTGTCCCGAAGTTCTTGAACTCCGGCACTCCAGGTGTGTAGTGGTCTCCCGACTCGTCTCCAGAGAGGACCCTGTGTTGGTGTGTAAGTTCTGGTAATTTCAATTGTGTGTATTCGTCCAGAGTTTACGTGAACCTAATCCTGATGACAAAGTAAAAGAAAAAGAAGCAAACATGGCAAAGACAAGACTAAACTACATTTCCGCAGAAACTCGTAATCGTATTCGCGATATTTTTAGGGTTACCATAATAATAATAATAAATAATATATTACCGTTAAAGATGGGTGGGTTGTCACGACCATCACGAAGCATAGTGACCTTTACAGATGCTGCGGACAATCAATTCGGTGTTCGTCTAGATGAAATTTCCCACGGGGGATAATATGACAAAAAGTAGTTATATAATATCCAGAGTCTATATATCTTTTGTACAGAGACCTTCACAAACCGGAGGTTTGTGGTTTGTCTAGTACGAAACATCGTAATGGGTATTAGGGGAGACAAAGTCGGGACAAAGTTTTCACGACTAAGAGGACCAGACAATGAAATCTACTTTTATTCCTCGGTGAGGGGTGCGGGGAGACTCTCTATAAACCAATTTTTCTTGAGGTTACCACGAAGATCCTCCTCTAAGTCCACTATTCCCC